TATCTCATAACCGAGGCATTGGTCCTCTAATCCATTGATTCTTGCTATGTTGATGAATATACCAGGTGCTTAATCAGAGATTGGTTGGGTCAGATAGGATATGGTTAATATTTATTCAAAATCTAGTTAGAATCTTTTTATCTTTCTGCTTTGTCATGTTAATCGGAGCCCCCAATTCTAGGCTAGCTGCAGCTTGGGTGGTCGGTTGCCAACATTGGCAACCAGATGTGGTGAAGAAAATGATACATATCCATGGAAAATCAGTAGCACCCAGTCAGTATTCCTAGTAGACTTTGTACAACAAAAATTGAGTGCCTTACATAGTTGAGTCTAAATGTGAGTATCTGTTCCGCTTGCCTATTTTTTGTAAGATCAAGCTTATGGAACTCGAAAGCTGAAACCAAATCATGTCACGTTTGGCTCAACTAGGAGATATGTCACACCTTTTGGATTCTTTGTTGTTTATGTTCTGAAACTTCCAAGTAGGATGAATTCATGATTGTCAAATGTTGAAGGTCAAGAAAATTCTTGTCGGTTATATTGATTGTTCCACTTGCTGTTACATATATTTCTGGAATACGTTGATCTTCACAGGAATCAATGTTTTTTCTGACGTTTTCAGGAACCATTTTCTTCATTTTCCAACTTCTCTAGGAACTAATAGAATTCAGCTTACCTAGTCTAATATTTGGAGCAGTCGGTACTTTCAGCCGTTTTTTTGATACAACCTCCTGCTTGGCATACTTGGCTATAATCTAATATTTGGACTGAACCACCATTTCATATTGTCCTTTTTGTTGCTTTAACTGTTAAGTTGTTTGTAGATTAGCTATATTGTTTTGCTTGCCTTTACTCTTGTTGCTGGCAGCTGCTGACCCCTGTTTGTTGAAAAAAAAATGTACGTTTGCTGCAGTGATCGATGAGCAACTTTGCCAAGCAGTGGGCCGGCTAACCTGAGGGTTGGCCCCATCATATCCAAGATGATGGTGAAGGTGGACTGGACCGGTGGCGCTTTTTGTGATTTTTCTCGCCATGCCGCAACCATGGTGGTGGTGATAACCGGCCTCGGCTACAACTTCCACAGGTGAGCTCCTCTTGTTCTGTATGACTTTGTACATCATGTGCTTCTCTGCTGTTGCAAGTGTCCATCCTTGTATTATAAGCTATGTGGCTCGATCTGGGATGGAAATACTCATTTGCACCGGTTTGATTCAGCTTTGTGTTTGACTATAAAGTGGTCTCTGTTGAATCATCACAAGCTAGTGCCCTGATTATGTATCCTGCCACAGAGCTTTATTATTATCACCATTTGTGTGATTCTGCTAATACATACTGCTTGTTTTTTCCTGAGTAAATACTACTCCCCGCGTTCCATAATAATTGTCGTGGTTTTAGCAAAACCACGACAATTATTATGGAACGGAGGGAGTACTTATAAAGAGAAACCATTGTTGTTTTTTCTTGCAAGAACTATATACTACATTTCAACACCCAAAATTATTGATGCTTGAACCACTCAGTATTTTCAACAAAATTTGTAGTGATGCCTGTTTCTTTTTCAAAGACTGCATCATCTGAAGCTTATTCTGATCTTCAAGTTACATCATGGATAATTCTTCCAGGTTAGACATGGTCGTCGTTGGCCATCTGGTCTCAGTCCTTGATTAGATGTGGTGTTCCTTTGAGGAAAGTGTCAGAATGTTGTTCTCCATGGTAGTAATATTTTGCATTGTGGCTGTGCTAGAACAATATAGGTTGGCATTGTCAGCAGTTATAACATAGGAGCAGTGTAGCCTGTGCTATAACAATGTGGCGTGTGCATTTTTCTAGAAATGGTATTTTTCATGCAAATGTTCTCTGTTAGATGATAAATCCAGATATATGGGTACTTTATTAGGGCCATCTGTTCAGAATTATTTTGTTTATGTTTTGCATTTTTGCTTATCAGGCTACTCATTCATTAAGGTCGACGGCTGCCATATTATTTTTGTTCTGGTGGTGGCTGAGGTCGATGGCTTGTACATGGTTGTATCTTCGCCCAACTCTCGTCTGCACTATCGATGGCGACGGCGTGGTATGGTCTCGGCTACAGACATTGAAGGTGAGTCCTCTCGGCTTCTCTTCCTCTTCCTCCATTCTTCCCCTTGCTCTGGGCAGGTGGTCATTGAGCCATGGCAATTGTGCCATGGCTACTTAGGTTTTGGCCTTGATGGGCCTCATTTGGCTCGGTAAATGATGCGCTACTGGTTGCCAAAGTTCCTGATGGCTAGTTAAACGACTCAAATTTCCTCTAGCTACGGAAGGACTCATTTATTGGCTCTGTTCTTGTATGTTTTAGTTTAACAAGAGGGCTCTTTTGTATCTAGGTAAACATACTTGGGATGCGATTTTCCTTGCTGGCTTTGAGAAGATTGTTGCCTTGCTGGGACTGGTTGGCTTTATCCATTCTTGATGTATGTTGCACAATATCCAACATCTGCACTGTATCCAACATCTTCATTAGTCAATCAGTTGACATCTCTTGTGTTTTGTTTTGTTTGTCCGGCTGCCCAATTACTTGTCATGGTGGAACTAACCAATGCAAGGATTGTTTCATTCATCGAATCAATGTATCTATTCTTGTGTGCAATAACTTCCAACATCCTTGCTGCCAGCATCATCTAAGCCATGTCAGTTTGGTCCCTAATTAGGACTGTTCACTTATACTACTTTCTTCTTCTTTTTCTTAATTTTGCGTGCAACCCTTTGTTCCTGTTGATAACCAACTGAGTTGTGGTGATTTGATCTTCTGCCAGGACGCTTTCCATGAGGTACAACAATGACGATGAAGTATGGTACGTACACAGCAGAGAAGGAGGCGAGCGAACTCGAGGAACAATCCGTCTTCCGACTCCGTGATGGATACTTGCATTGCTACTATTTGGCACTAGCTTCTAGCTAGCTGACAAACTGTGGGCTCTCGATTGGATCCTAGGTATTAATATTTGTTGTGTAAGAAGGCAAGATGAGGTGGACTTGTGTTCTTCTTTCTTGGCTGGTAGCAGTGGATGCGTGCTAAATGAAAAGGCTGGTGATAGTTGTTGTACACAAGATAAAAGTAGGAGGTGTTGAACCAATGAACCTCGAGCGTTTGAATATTGTTGTCTGTCACCTTGTTTATGTTGCTCCCAACCACCAACGCAATGAACCCTTGAGGTCTATCTTCATGTTTTTTAATCAGGATGAGCAACTTGTCTAACCGAATGTCCATAATGTTTTGTCGCTCATGCATTTCGGAATCGACCTGCATATAGATATAGTTGGTGTGTGCTTGTGTGCTCCATTTGAATCAGTCTAGATCAGTGTCAGTTCTGAGCAAATGCACTTATCCAAGTTTGTCTACAGGTCTGTTTGTATCTAAGATGATGCGCCTCGACGCACATTGGATTGAAAATAGAAACTCATTTTGCATGGTTACCGATAACTATAGCGCGCAATAATGCATCTATTTGAATGGAAACGGATAGGAGTTCTAGCGGCCTTCGTTTCTTCTGTTAGAATAATATATATGAAGACAAATGAAATGACAAAACAACATCAGGAGAGATCAAACAAGATGGCAATTTAATTTTGCGACTCTTTTCTCGTTTCTTAAATCTATAACGTGGCATATCGTTTAGTACTGCCTTCTAAATGGACATGTTTTAGTTTTGTTACTTGAGGGCCCCTTCGGAATTGAGGGAGAAAAAACGTGGTGAAAGCAAATGATTGCTGTGGTAAAACCATTGGAGTAGAAAACGGAGGACAAAAACTGGAGATGGTGTTCGGATTCAGTAGAGAGAAGTCCATAGAAAGCGCTTGCACTTGAGGTGATTAAAAAATTCGAACGTCCTCCATTGTTAATCAATTAGTTCCATCCAGCTGTGGCCTGCCAGGCTACTTACTCACCTGCACTGCATTGCATTAATGTGGTGTCCCGCAGCTACGCAATAACTCTGTTTCTTGGAAACGGAATGAAACGAAAACGGATCGTCATCATTCTGTGCTTTCACCTAGGGATGTCCACCGGCCGGCCATCCAGGTGTGTGCCACCTCATCGATCCGCGGCACCACGGCAATGCCTGTGGTTCACTCCATCATATCTGCTGCGACCATCTATTCTCTATATATATTGGAAAGAGTCATTCATCCGCGTGCGGTATGCGCGTGTGACTTAGGACTATTGGAGATGCTCTAGATCATCTATTGGAGATGCTCTAATGAACACACCAAACTTGACAACACACCCGACCGGAAGCCGATGATTTGTGGGACCAAAACCACATAGACTCCTCGGTGTCAACCATTATTACATATCACACCAGGACGGGGGTAGAAGCCCGAGGCACCATCTCCTACCTCGAAATGTGACACAAGACCAGAACATTAAGGGAAACAAGAGTGTATTTTCTATAGATCTGGGGTTCCCTGACGGAGACGAGAGAAACCGGCATAAAAGAGTGGAAGGAGAAGCTTTCTGCAGCTATAGGTCTCGGCTAGGGCTGGACCAAAACTCGTAGCTCGCGAGCTTAAAGAATGCTCGATAGTTTGTCTCGTTAAACTTGTAGCTCGCTTCATAATTAACAGAGCCAACCACTAATTTCATCTCAGCAAGTTTAACGATCTTAAGGAATGAGATAACATTTTTGTAGCATCTAAATCGATCTATCCAATCAAATCGATCCAACCTAGTTCACAGAAGATAGGAAATTAGTGAACCTCCTCATGTAGTCACCATCTCTTTGTAAAAATCATGTACATTCTTACCCTGTAGGCCGTAGCACATTGTAGTATGTTCGCGAGCATTCACGACCTTAACGAGTTTCAAATGAACAAAGCAGAGCAGGGTTTCCTACTTGTTAAGCTTAACAAGTTTAACGAGCACGCGCTTAACGAGCTGAGCAGCTCATTAACCCACCCCTACTCTTGACTGCGACAACGGTAGAAACACAACAATTTTATCCTACACAGATCGTGCATATTCACGAGATCTTTAGATGGATTTGGTGCGTCGTGTGACACGCATGGAATGCGGCTTCTTCAGCACCTTGAGTGAATCCAGCTCCGTGAGGTCAACAGCGGCAGTGCCTGTTGGCGGTGCCCACTCAACTCGTGCCAAGAAGCACTTCATGTTCACCATCGTCATGCCCACGCCTAAGCATAACCTATGCCCCATGCCAAATGGCATCATCCTGATCTGCTTGGGTCCCAGAAAAGGGCCGACACCCTACCCCTCTCCGTCGGTCAGGAACCACTCCGGTCAGAACTCGTTGGGATCCAAACGGTAACGGGCTAAGGTGTCTGCGCCTTATTAATCTCTCCCCCCCCCCCCATGAATTTCCCTGAGGCGCCCACCACTAACAAACCGTAGCTTTACGATTCAGCCTGTAACTACTTCCGCGCACAAACAACCCGTAAGTGTGGCATTCTTCGCTAGTTTACACTAGTGAACCGACAATTTGTGGGACCAAAACCCCAGATGTCAACCATGTCGCATCACACCATGAATGGATTCCCACCAGGATGGGGGGTGGAGGCCGGGCAAACTAGATCGAGATTGCTAAATCTCAGTCATGCTATATTCGTGGTACCTTACATGGTGATCCGTGCAAAATTTTCTTTCTGATATTTTCTTTTTTCTTTCTTATATGTTATATATCATTTGGCTTAGACTTGGTTAAGTCTTAGTCAATTGAGACCTAGCCACACCCAAACTAGATAGCAATGTGTATAGATCTGGGGTTCCCCTGCCGAAGACAACTGAAACCGACAGAAAATGGCAGAAGGAGAACCCCAGATCTACCGTTGTTGCAGCCGAGCCTAGATAGCAATGTGTATAGATCTGGGGTTCCCCTAGGCTCGGCTGCAACAACGGTAGAAACACAACTTTTTTATTATACACATATCGTGCAGATTGTCAAGATGTTGAGATCTTTAGACGGATTTGGTGTGTCGCGTGACACGCGCGGAAAGCGGCTTCTTCATCACCTTGAAGAAGGAATCCAGCTCCGTGAGGTCAATAGTGCTGGTGCCCGTCGGCACCGCCCACTCAAACTCGCGCACGAGAGCGGCCAATAAGCTCTTCATGTTCACCATGGTCATGCCCACGCCAGGGCAGAACCTATGCCCGGCGCCGAACACTAGTGCAGAACCGGGCAATGGGGGGGCGGGGGCGCCGAACACTAAAGACCCCCCCCCCATTTAGTACCGGTTCAGCACGAACCAGTGCTAAAGGGCAACCACGTGGCACGAGCCAGCTCCGGGGGCCTGGAGCCCTTTAGTACCGGTTGGTAAGACCAACCGGTACTATAAGGTTTGGGGTTTTTTTAGTTTTATGATTTATTTTTCATTTAATTTTTTGTTTCCATTTTAATTCTTTTTCGTTTGCTGGTATTTTACGATACTACACATTGTACACGT